GCTCCTTGGCCCGCTCCTGGCGCCGGCGCCGCTTCTCCTCCCGCTCCCGCTGCCGCTCGGCCGCCGTCACCGGGCGCCGGCCCTCTGGGGGCTCCGGTGCTGCGCAGGGGGGGTCTGGGATGGGGATAGGGATGGGGGGAAGTGGGGGGGGTCAGAGGGTAAGCTGAGCACAGGGAGATGGCAGCCAATAGCAGCCAACCCAACCCAACTAACACAATGCAACCAACCCAGCCCAACACAACCAACCCAACCCACCCAGCCAACCCAACCAACCCAGCCAACCCAACCAACCCAACCCAACCAGCCAACCCAACCAACCCAGCCAACCCAACCAACCCAGCCAACCCAACCAACCCAACCCAACCCACCCAACCCAACCAACCCAGCCAACCCAACCAAGACAACCCAGCCCAACCCAAGCCAACCAACTCATCCCACCCACTCACCTTTACTCTTGTTCCTCATGGCCGACTTGAGCAGCGCAGCCTTGAGGGCAGCTTTGGTGTCATCAGAGATGGCTCCATCCCTCTTTGGCGCTGCAGGGGCGCCAGGCTCCGCCTTCACCTGCAGCGGTGACTCCACTGGCCCATCAGGCCCAGGGCTCACCATGTCCACATCGGCACAAGGCCACGCGGGGCCATTGGGCGCTCCATTGGAGTCACCCACAGGACCACCACCATTGTTGACAGCTCCACCGACCCCATTGGTTGGCGCCAAGGAGATGTGGCGCCGGATCCCATCCCGGCGCGCGTGGAAGTCCTCAATCTCGGCCACGATGGCCGCCTTGATGTCCTCCTTGGTGAGTGCCCGGCGCTCGAAGGCGAAGTCAAAGGCCGGGACGCACTCGGGCTCGTCCTCAGGATCGTGATACTTGGCCAGGAACGGGTGCCTCAGCGCCTCCCCCACCCCAACCCTATCCCGTGGGTCAAACCTCAGCATCCTCCCCAACAGCGCCAAGGCCTCGGTGTCGGCATCGCCGAACAGGGACTCCCACGGCACGGCCGGGCGCGGGGGGAGGCTCTGGATGTACGCCCGCACCCGTTCGGCGCCGATGGCCCCCATCACGGCGGGCGGCGGCGTCCCCAGCACGGCCATGATGAGCTGGAGCTGATGGATGTAATTGCGGCCCGGGAAGAGCTGGCGCCTGCCGAGCATCTCGGCGAAGATGCAGCCCACGGACCACATGTCGATGGCGCGGGTGTAGCGGTGCAGGGACAGCAGCAGCTCCGGCGCCCGGTACCAGCGCGTGGCCACGTACTCGGTGAGGAAGGCCTTGGCATGGCGCGGGTCGGCGCCGAGCCCTCGGGCCATGCCGAAGTCGCCGATCTTGAGCTCGCAGTTCTCGTTGACCAAGAGGTTGCTGGGCTTGAGGTCCCGGTGCAGGACGTTGGCCGAGTGGATGTACTTGAGGCCGCGGAGGAGCTGGTAGAGGAAGTAGCGGACGTGTTCCAGGGTCAAGGGTTGGGAGGAGTGGATGATCTGGTGGAGGTCGGATTCCATCAGGTCCAGCACGACGTAGCTAAAGGGGGGGGGGGGGGGCAGGAGGGGTGGTGCCGTGGGTCAGCCTCACCCATAATAGGGTCTAGAAGGGGGTTGAGATGGTGCTACGGGGTCTTCAACCCAATGGGGCTCCATCCCATGGGTCCTCCTGACCCATAATAGAGTCTAGAAAGGGTCTGAGATGGTGCTATCGGGTCACCAACCCAATGGGGCTCCATCCCATGTCTTCTCCTGACCCATAATAGGGTCTAGAAAGGGTCTGAGATGGTGCTATGGGGTCACCAACCCAATGGGGCTCCATCCCATGTCTTCTCCTGACCCATAATAGGGTCTAGAAAGGGTCTGAGATGGTGCTATGGGGTCACCAACCCAATGTGGCTCCATCCCATGTCTCTTCCTGACCCGTAATAGGGTCTAGAAGGGGTTTGGGATGTCCCTATGGGGTCACCAACCCAATGGGACTCCATCCCATGTCTTCTCCTGACCCATAATAGGGTCTAGAAAGGGTCTGAGATGGTGCTATGGGGTCACCAACCCAATGGGGCTCCATCCCATGTCTTCTCCTGACCCATAATAGGGTCTAGAAAGGGTCTGAGATGGTGCTATGGGGTCACCAACCCAATGGGGCTCCATCCCATGTCTCCTCCTGACCCATAACAGGGTCTAGAAGGGGTTTGGCCTATCTCTATGGGGTCACCACCCCAATGGGGCTCCAACCCCCGAGTCCTCCTGCCCCACAGGAGGGTCCCTGGGGCTCGGGGCGGTGGCCGTGGGGGGACGCACACGGAGCGGAACTCGCCGTAGGGCACGGTGGGTTTCAGGATGTCCTTGATGCCGATGATGTTGTCGTGCTTGAAGTGCTTCAGGATCTTCAGCTCCCGCAGGGTCCGCTTGGCGTTGGTCACCACATCGAAGGCGTTCGGGATCTTCTTGATGGCCACTTGCTGGCCTGGCGGCCCATGGGTGGGCATCACCAATGGCACCCAATGGACCCCCCACCAATGGCACCCAATGGACCCCCCCCAATGGCACCCAATGGACCCCCCCCAATGGCACCCAATGGACCCCCACCAATAGCACCCAATGGCACCCAATAGCACCCAATGGAGCACCCCCAATGGCACCCAATGGACCCCCCCAATGGACCCCTGGAATGGCAACCAATGGACACGCCCAATGGCACCCAATGGCAGCCAAGAGCACCCAATGGCACCCAATTGCACCCAATGGAACCACCCCCCATGGCACCCAATGACACCCAACGGACCCCCCCACCAGTGGCACCCAATGGACCCCAATAGCACCCAATAGCACCTAATGGCACCCAGCGGCACCCGATGGCACTCAATGGCGCTCAATGGCACCCAACGGGCGCCCTCACCGGTGTCGCGGCGCCGTGCGGAGCTGACGACGCCATAGGCGCCGGTGCCGATGGTCTCGATGACGTCATACTCGTCCCCCACCTCGAAGGTGACATCGAGCGCCCGCGCATTGAGCAGGGCCAGGCCCCCCCCGGCCCCACAGCGCCCCCCAGGCTCGGCCTCCGCCATCTGCGACCCACACGTGTGGGGCAAAACGGGTCAGGGCCACACAGACGGGACCTCCATGGGCTCAGACCCATAGATATGGGCCCTACATGGGGCCTATGTGGACTCAGACCCATAGATATAGGGCCTACATGGGCTCAGACCAATTGATATAGGGCCTACATGGGCTCGAACCCATAGCTATGGGCCCTACATGAGCTCAGACCCATATATATGGGTCGTATATGGGCTCAGACCCATATAGATGTGAGCCACAAGGTCACAGACCCACATATATGGGGATCCGAGGGTCTGGGATTCACATATATGGGGCACACATGGACTTAGATCAACATATATGAGACCTACGTGGGCTCGGACCCCTACATATGGGGCATACATGGACTCAGACCCACCTATATAGGACCTACACGGCCTCAGACCCACATACATGGGAACCCAGAGGTTTGAGCCCCACATACCCCATGGACCCCCACAGCCGGGACCCCCACAGCCTCAGACCCACACATAAAGGCCCCACTTATCCGTTCCCTCCCCATCAATGGGTCTGAGCCCCACATCCCCAATCCCCGCACCCCCCCACCCCGTGCTCCCTCTGCCCCACAGACCCAGCCCCACACGACTCCCCCCATCCCTGCCCCATAGCGATGGGGCCGTTGCCATGGCAATGGGGGCACCGGGACCTCCGACTTCCCCCCCCCATCGGCACTCACCGCCCCTCTGCTCAATGGAGCCCGGAAATGGCGCGCCCGGCGCGGCCACGCCCCCTCCGCTGATATCACGGCCGGCGGCCAATGGGAGCGCAGGGTGGGAGGGGATGAATGGAGGGAGGGCGGTGACGTCACAGAGGGCGGGGTTTGGGCGCCAAAGAGGGCCTTAGGGGGTGAATGGGGACGGTCCGGACCCATAAGTGGGGTTAATGGGGGGGATGGGGGGGCCCGGACCCCCAAGTGCGCCCTATAGGTGGTGTTAGGGAGCAGCAATGGGTCTGGGACCCCCAAGTGCAATGGGGGGGCAATGGGGGGCACTATAGGGTAGTGGGGGGCAATAAGGGTGCAATGGGGGGGCAATAGAGGGTAATGGGGGGCAGTGGGGCACAATGGGGGGGCAATAGAGGGTAATGGGGGTATAATGGGGGGCAGTGGGGTACAATGGGGGGCAATAGAGGGTAATGGGGGGAAATGGGGGCAATAGAGAGCAATGGGGGGGGCAGTGGGGGGCAATAGAGAGCAATGGGGGGGCAATAGAGGGTAATTGGGGTATTATGGGGGGCAGTGGGGGTCAATGGGGGGGCAATAGAGAGCAATGGGGTATAATGGGGGGCAGTGGGGGTCAATGGGGGGCAAAGAGGGGCGTGGCCTCAATAAAAGGGCGGCACAGGCGCAGCTCTGATTGGTCGGTTTATTTCCCACGGACACACAGAGAGCGGGCCAATGGCAGCGCAGGGGGCGGGGTTAAGGCGCGCCGGGGGGCGGGGCCTGCTCGGGGCCGTGCCGCCATTGGTGCTTCCGCAGCCCCGCCCTGGCCCGGAAGCGCCGGGGGCACAGCGGGCAGGCGAAGGGGCCCGGCTCGGGGGCCGCCATCTTGGCATCCAGTATGGCGGCCGCCACGGTGGGGGCGGCCATGTTGGCGCCTGGTTGAACCCCAATGGGGGCGGCCATATTGGCCCCAGCACCAGGCGCCACAATGACCCCGGCACTGGGCCTCATGTAGGCTCCGGACCCAGGGGCTGTATGGCCCCCACCATCCATGGCGGCCACACTGAGCCCCCCTCCAGTACCGATATGGGCCCCTCCTCCCGTATTGAGTCCACCCGTGGCGGCCATACCGGCCCCCCCTCCAGCATCTCGACGGACCCCATCTTTGGTGGCCATATTGACCCTATGGATGGCGGCCACGTTGCCCCCATCCATTGCAGCCATACTGAGCCCGTCCATGGTGGCCACATTGACCCTATGGATGGTGCCCACGTTGAGTCCATCCATGGCGCCCACGTTGAGTCCATCCATGGCGCCCACGTTGAGTCCATCCACGGCGCCCACGTTGCCCCCATCCATCCACGGCGCCCACGTTGCCCCCATCCATGGCGCCCACACTGACCCTATGCACGGCTCCCACATTGCCCCCCACCGCTGCCGCCCCATGGCCGCCCTCGGCGCCCTTGCCGTGCGTCCTCTCGTGCTTCCGGAGCGCCGAGACCCCCCCGAAGCCCTTCCCGCACTCCCCACACTTGTGGGGCCGCTCCCCGGAGTGGGTCCTGCGGTGCTTGCCCAGCGCCCCCCGCTCCCCGAAGCCCTTCCCGCACTCGCCGCACTTGTGGGGCCGGTCGCCGCTGTGGCTGAGCCGGTGCCTCTTGAGGTCCCAGGAGGCCACGAAGCCCTTCCCGCAGTCGGCGCACTTGTGGGGCCGGTCGCCGGTGTGGGTGCGGCGGTGCAGGGCCAGGTCCGCGGGCTGCCGGAAGGCTTTGCCGCACTCGTGGCACCCGTAGGGCTTGAGCCCGCTGTGCCCGCGCTGGTGCCGCCGGTAGCTGGAGGGGTCGGCGAAGGTGCGGCCGCACTGGGGGCAGAGGAAGGGGCGCTCCCCGGTGTGCACGCGGCGGTGGCTCTGGTAGGACGAGAGCTGCGTGAAGGCCTTGCCGCACTCGCGGCAGCCGTAGGGCTTGTGGGGCGCGTGGATGCGCTGGTGGCAGGCGAGCGACGAGGCGCGGCCGAAGCTCTTCCCGCAGTGGGGGCAGAGGAAGGGGCGCTCCCCGGTGTGCACGCGCTGGTGGTTGCGCAGGTCCTTGCGCTCGGCGTACGCCTTGGGGCACAGGGGGCAGCCGTGGGGCCGCAGCCCCGCGTGGCCGCGCCGGTGCTTGCGGAACACCGAGGGGTCGGCGAAGGCCTTGGGGCAGTCGGGGCAGGCGAAGGGGCGCTCGCCCGTGTGGGCGCGCTGGTGGATGGCGAGCTTGGACTGGGAGCCGTAGGCCTTGGGGCAGGATGGGCACGGGAACGGCGGCGCCGGGCGGCGCGCGGCGGGGGACCGAGAGGAGGGGTTGGGGCCCCCGGGGGCGGCTGCGACGGAGGCGGCGTCTCCGGGGGCTTCCACGGGGAGCGTGGTTGGGTCGGCGGGGGCCGCAGGGCTGGGTTTGGGGCCTCTCGATGCTCTGGGGGTGCCTTTGGGTCCTGCGAGGGCATCCGCGATGGTGGCGGCACCTCCAGAGGCATCCACGGGGATCGCGGTTGGGTCCATAGGGGTGGCTCTGGGCGCTCTGGAGGCGCCTCTTGCTGCTTTGGAGGTGCCTTTGGGTGCTGCAAGGGCACCCACAACGGCGGCGGCACCTCCAGATGCATCCATAGGGCTCATGGGGGCGTCTTCGGTTGGGGCAATGGGGTCTACGGAGGTGGGTTTGGTGCCTTTGGGTGCTTTGGAGGCGCCTCTTGATGCTCTGGAGGTGCCTTTGGGTGCTTCAGGGGCATCCGCAACGGCGGCGGCACCTCCGGATGCATCCATAGGGATCGCGGTTGGGTCGATGGGGTCCACAGGGGTGGGATCGGTGCCTCTGGGTGCTTTAGGGGCACCCTTAGGGGTTCTGCAGGCACCCCTTGATGCCTTGGAGGTGCCCCTACGCGCTCTGGAGCTGGCGGCACCTCCGGATGCGTCCATAGGGCCCATGGGGGCATCGGCAGCGCTCGTGGTGGCGTCTCCAGAAGGTTCCACGGGGTCCGTAGGGGTGGTGGTGGCACCTATGGGAGCGCCTATGGGACCTGTGGCGGCGCGCCGGGAGCGGGTGGTGGCGCCCCTGTCCCTGTCCATGGTGCTGACGGGGGCACCCATGGCTGCGCCCACGGCGCCGGTGCCCGCGGCCCTGGCTACGGTGCTGGCACCATTGGGACCTCTGGACCTGGTGCTTCGGGACGCGGTGGTGGCACCTCGGGGCCTGGGGGGACGGGTGCTGCTGCGGGTGAGGCGCTGGGTGCCCCTATGGGTGCCAACGCCATGGTCACCACTATGGGTGCCATCATGGTCATCGCTATGGGTGCTATCACAATGGTCACCCCTATGGGTGCCACCTTGGTCATCCCTATGGGTGCCATCATGGACGTCCCCTCCTGGCTCCTCCATGGCCCCTGTGGACATGGAGCCAGGTTGGATGAGGGTTATGGGGGGGGGAGCCCCATATGGGGGGGAATGGGTGGCAATGGGGGGCAATAGGGGGTTAATAGGGGACAACAGGGGGGCAATGGGGGTAACAGAGAGGCAATGACAGGCACTAGGGGTGCAATGGGGGACGATGAAGAGTAATGGGGTGTCAGTGGGGGCCAATGGGGGTAACAGGGGACAATGGGGTCGGCAATGGGGGTCATGGGGGGCAATGGGGGGAGTTATTGGGGGCAAATAGGGGGTAATGGGGGTAATAGGAGATAATGGGGGGCCAGTGGGGTTCAATGGGGGGTGGGGAATGGGCTTCAATGGGGCTGTAACACAGGGCTCTATTGGGGGGGGGGGGGCTTCCAGTAGGGGTGTTTCAATGGGGGGGTGCCCGCAGTGCATGCCGGGCCGGGCCGTGCGGGGAGGGGGGGTCCATGCTGGTGCCCTATGGGGTGTGTGGGGCAATGTGTGGGGCAATGGGGCGCAATGGGGCGCAATGGGGGGCCGAGGCCTCACCTTGATCCGCGGGGGGTTCGGCGCTAGGACCGGGAGGCGGCGGCGGCGGCGCGGGGCCGGGGGGCGGGGCCTGGGCAAGGGGCGGGGCCTGTGGGCGCTTCCGGGGAGGGAGGGAGGGAGGGAGCGGACGAGACCATGCGGTGGAAGGGGGGGGGGGTGCAGGGGAGGGATTGGGGTGAAATGGGGCGATTTCGGGGCTTTTTGGGGGGACTAGAGGGGGGGTTGGGGCGGGATGGACCATTTTGGGGGAATTGGTGTATTTTGAGGTGGGAATGGACCATTTTGGGGGGAATTGGGGTATTTTGAGGTGGGAATGGACCATTTTGGGGGGAATTGGGGTATTTTGAGGTGGGAATGGACCATTTGGGGCGGAATTGGGGTATTTTGAGGTGGGAATGGACCGTTTTGGGGGGAATTGGGATATTTTGAGGTGGGAATGGACCATTTTGGGGGGAATTGGGGTATTTTGAGGTAGGAATGGACCGTTTTGGGGGGAATTGGGGTATTTTGAGGTGGGAATGGACCATTTGGGGGGGAATTGGGGTATTTTGAGTTGGGAATGGACCATTTTGGGGGGAATCGGGGTATTTTGAGGTGGGAATGGACCATTTTGGGGGGAATTGGGGTATTTTGAGGTGGGAATGGACCATTCTGGGGGGAACTGGGTGCTTTCTGGTTGGGATGAATCAATTTGGGGAAATCGCGGTGTTTGGGTCGGAATGAACCATTTTGGGAGGGGAGTAGTGGAAATTGGGGTCCTTTTTGCCCCCAAAGTGGGTCGTGTCCGCCCCCCAAAGGATCTGGAGCCCCCCAAGTGCTGCCCATCACCATTTATTGCTCTGTCCCATGTGTGTGACCCCTTAAATCCAAGCACCCCCCAAGTTAGGGGGGGTCAGGCCAGGCCGGAGCCCCCCCCCTCACCGGGTACGGGGTTCCCCATGGTGTCTCCCAAGGGGTCCTCCATGGGGTGGGGGTCCCTCAGTGCCTCTGGGTCCTCGGTGCCGCTGGCGCCCCCCATGGTGGGGATGGGCTCGTCCAAAGCATCCCCTTCATCCCCTTCATCCCATTCATCCCCATCCCCTTCATCCTCCTCCTCCTCCTCCTCCCGGGGGTCGGGGGGGGGCTCATTGAAGTAGGCCTCCCTGGTGATGCCGCTGACCCAGCGCTCCAGGGGGGGGGCGCTGGTGAACCGGAGCCGGCCCCCCCCAACTCCCCCCCCCGCCGCAGTGGTCGTGGCCGTGCCCAGCAGGAACCAGACCCCGCGCTCCACGCACGCCAATGGGGAGCCACCAAGTGCCTGCGGGGGGGGCTTCAAATAGACCCAAACCAGCCCGAAATAGACCCAAAATAGCCCCAAAACAGCCCGAAATAGCCCCATAATTGCCCCAAAACGGCCCGAAATAGCCCCAAACCAGCCCCAAACAGCCCGAGATAGCCCCAAAACAGCCCCCAAACAACTGAAACCCCCCCGAAATAGCCTGGAACAGCATAAAGCAGCCCAAAATAAACCAAAACCAGGCTAAGGCAGCCCAAATGGGTCCGTAGGTCCAAAGAGACCCCAAAGGGACCCCATAAGGAACATAAGGACCCCAATGGCTCCCCATGACCCCATAGAGACCCAATGGCCCCCAGTGGCCCCCAATGGCCCCATAGGCCCCCGAATGGCCCCATAGGCCCCTGAATGCCCCCACAGGCACCCAATGGCCCCCAACGGCCTCATAGGCCCCCGAATGGCCCCATAGGCACCCAATGGCACCCAATGGCCCCATAGGCCCCTGAATGCCCCCACAGGCACCCAATGGCCCCCAACGGCCCCATAGGCCCCCGAATGGCCCCATAGGCACCCAATGGCCCCCCACAGACCTGCCGGGTGCTGTTGCCCTCGAGCACGGTGACACAAACGGTGTCGTTGGGGGTCGGGGTCTCACAGGGTTCCGGCAGCGACACCTCCACGCTGAGCACATCCATGGGGCTGGGGGAGCCTGCTCACAGGGGGGGCAATGGGGTCAATGGGGGCTATGGGGTCAATGGGGGCAACAGGGCAATGGAGGCTATGGGGCAATGGGTTCAATAGGGGCAATGGGGTCAGTAGGGGCAATGGGGGCTATGGGGCAATGGGGTCAATAGGGACAATGGGGTCAATGGGGGCAACGGAGTCAATAGGGGCAATGGGGGCAATGGGGTTAATAGGGGCAATGGGGTCTATGGGGAAATGGGGACACACTCCCTCCCATAGGACTCTATAGGTCTCACCCCATAGGATTTATGGGGTCTATGGGTCTCACTCCATAGAATATATAGAATCTATGGGTCTCACCCCATAAGCTCTATGTGTCCCTATGTGTCTCTATGTGTCCCTATGTGTCTCTATGGGGTCCCTATGTGTCTCTATGGGTCCCTATGTGTCCCTGTGTGTCCCTATGGTCCCTATGTCTCTCTATGGTCCCTATGTGTCCCTATGGTCCCTATGGGTCCCTATGGTCCCTACGTGTCTCTATGCTCCCTATGGGTCCCTATGGTTGCTATGTGTCCCTATGTCTCTCTATAGTCCCTATGTGTCTCTATGGTCCCTATGTCTCTCTATGGTCCCTATGTGTCCCTATGGTCCCTATGTGTCTCTATGGTCCCTATGTCTCTCTATGGTCCCTATGTGTCTCTATGGTCCCTATGGTCCCTATGGTCGCTATGTGTCTCTATGGTCCCTATGTGTCTCTATGGGTCCCTATGGTCGCTATGTGTCCCTATGGTCCCTATGTGTCCCTATGGTCCCTATGGTCTCTATGGTCGCTATGGTCCCTATGTGTCCCTATGGGTCCATATGGTCTCTATGGTCTCTATGGTCCCTATGTGTCCCTATGGGTCCCTATGTGTCCCTATGGTCCCTATGTGTCCCTATGGTCCCTATGTGTCCCTATGGTCCCTATGGTCTCTATGGTCTCTATGGTCGCTATGGGTCTCACCGTAGTCCCCCAGCAGCGCCCAGCAGCGGGTCCCGGGGGGGGCGCTGTGGTCCCCATAGGGGGCACAGAGGGGCCTCAGCGCCGCGCTCAGCCCCAGCGCGGGCTCCACGCGCAGCAGCGCCGCGTCCCGGCCCCGTCCCGGCCCCACATAGGCCCCGTGGAGGTGGAGCCTGGTGACGTTGGGGCGGGAGGGGGCGGGGCCAGCGGTGACGTCAGCGGTGACGTTGTCGCTCGCGGCCAGCGCCAACGGGAACACCTCCCACTCGGCCGGGTCTTGGTGGCTGGAAGGGAAGGGGGGGGGGACGGGGGAGAGAAAGGGGGGGTTATGGGGCACCGCTATGGGGATGCTATGGGGGTTCTATAGGGTAGAGCTATAGGGATGCTACGGGTCTCTATGGGTTTCTATGGGGTCTCTATGGGTCTCTATGGGTGCCTATGGGTTTCTATGGGGTCTCTGTGGGTCTCTATGGGTCCCTATGGGTTTCTATGGGGTCTCTATGGGTCCCTATGGGTTTCTATGGGGTCTCTATGGGTCCCTATGGGGTCCCTATGGGTCTCTGTGGGTCCATATGGGTTTCTATGGGGTCTCTAGGGGTCTCTATGGGTTTCTGTGGGGTCTCTATGGGTCCCTATGGGTTTCTATGGGGTCTCTATGGGTCTCTATGGGTCCCTATGTGTTTCTATGGGGTCTCTATGGGTCCCTATGGGTTTCTATGGGGTCCCTATGGGTCTCTGTGGGTCCATATGGGTTTCTATGGGGTCTCTAGGGGTCTCTATGGGTCCCTATGTGTTTCTATGGGGTCTCTATGGGTCCCTATGGGTTTCTATGGGGTCTCTATGGGTCCCTGTGGGTCCCTATGGGTTTCTATGGGGTCTCTATGGGTTTCTGTGGGGTCTCTATGGGTCGCCATGGGTCCCTGTGGGCCGGCAGGGGGGCACTCACCCGATGAAGCAGTGCGCGGCGCTCAGCACCCAGCTCTCCGCTATCAGCGCCCCCCAGCACTGGGGCCGCCCCCCCCGCAGCAGCGCCACGGACCAGGGCCACGCCGCGCCGCTAGGGGGCGCCAAAGCAGGGCCGCCCCACATCCCGCACCCTGCGGGGGGGACACACAGGGGTCTATGGGGCGCCCCACAGCCCTATGGGGGGACACACAGAGGGGTCTGTGGGGCACCCCATAGCTCTATGGGGGGACACACACACAGGTGTCTATGGAGCTCCCCATAGCTCTATGAGGGGGACACACAGAGGGGTCTATGGAGCTCCCCATAGCTCTATGAGGGGGACACACAGAGGGGTCTATGGAGCTCCCCATAGCTCTATGATGGGGACACACACACAGAGGGGTCTGTGGGGCACCCCATAGCTCTGTGATGGGGACACACACACAGGTGTCTATGGAGCACCCCATAGCTCTATGGGGACACACGCACAGAGGGGTCTATGGAGCGCCCCATAGCTCTATGATGGGGACACACACACAGGTGTCTATGGAGCGCCCCATAGCTCTATGGGGACACACACACACAGGTGTCTATGGAGTGCCCCATAGCTCTATGGGGACACACGCACAGAGGGGTCTATGGAGCGCCCCATAGCTCTATGAGGGGGACATACAGGGTTCTATGGGGCGCCCCACAGCTCTATGGGTCCCAGTTATGGGGCGCGGCTGCCCTTACCCAGGCACAGCCCCTCCTCGCTGTGGGGCTCGGTGGCGGCGGCGTGGGGCTGGAGGAAGGCGCTGGGGGGGAGGTGGCGCCGCAGCCACCGCGCGTGGGCGCCCAGCGCCGTGCCCAGCACCGGCAGCCCCGGGCGGGCGCAGCCCACGGCGAAGCTCAGCACCCCCGCCTGGAACCAGCGCCCGGAGCCCCCCCGGCACTGGATGGGGCCCCCCGAGTCCGCCTGCGGGAGACAGCGGCACCCGAGGGGTCACGCAGGGGTCAGGTGGGGTCACATAGAGGTCAGGTAGGGGTCACATCGAGGTCAGGTAGGGGTCAGACAGGGGTCACATAGAGGTCAGATAGGGGTCAGGTGGGGTCACATAGAGGTCAGGTAGGGGTCAGGTGGGGGTCACAGAGGTCAGGTAGGGGTCACATAGAGGTCAGGTAGGGGTCAGACAGGGGTCACATAGGGGTCAGGTGGGGTCACATCGAGGTCAGGTAGGGGTCAGACAGGGGTCACATAGAGGTCAGGTAGGGGTCAGACAGGGGTCACATAGAGGTCAGATAGGGGTCAGGTGGGGTCACATAGAGGTCACGTAGGGGTCAGACAGGTCACATAGAGGTCAGGTGGGGTCACACAGGGGTCAGACATGGGTCAGGTAGGGGTCATATAAGGTCACATATGGGTCAGATAAGGGTCATACAGGGGTCATATAGGGTCATATGGGGGTCAGGTATGGGGTCATATAGAGGTCATATAGAGTCACATAGAGATCATATAGAGGTTATACAGAGGTCATATAGGGGTCACATAGGGGTTATATGAGGTCATATAGAGTCAGGGTCACCTAGAGGATATGGAGTCAGGCATGGGGTCATATAGGGGTATAAACAATGATATAGGGCACATCCAGCTCTACACAACATACAGACCCATAAACGGCTATACAGACGAACACAGAATAACATCCCTATATCCCCCCATAGGCTCCCATAGGGCTCCATAGGCCCCCACAGGGCTCCATAGGCTCCCATAGGGCTCCATAGTGCTCTATAGGGCTCCATAGGCTCCCATAGGGCTCCCATAGGCTCCCATAGGGCCCCCATAGGGCTCCATAGGCTCCCATAGGGCTCCATAGTGCTCTACAGGGCTCCATAGGCTCCCATAGTGCTCCCATAGGCTCCCATAGGGCCCCCATAGGGCTCCATAGGCTCCCATAGTGCTTCCATAGGGCTCCATAGGCTCCCATAGTGCTTCCATAGGGCTCCATAGGCTCCCATAGTGCTTCCATAGGCTCCCATAGTCTCCCATAGGGCTCCCATAGCGCTCCATAGCCTCCCATAGTCTCCCATAGGGCTCCCATAGTCTCCCATAGGGCCCTCATAGCCTCCCATAGTCTCCCATAGGGCTCCCATAGGCTCCCATAGGCTCCCATAATCTCCCATAGGGCCCCCATAGTGCTCCCATAGGCTCCCATAGTGCTCCCATAGGGCCCCCATGGGGCTCCATAGGCCCCCATAGTGCTCCCATAGCCTCCCATAGTCTCCCATAGGGCCCCCATAGTGCTCCCATAGGCTCCCATAGTGCCCCATAGGGCCCCCGGAGGGCTCGGTTACCTGGCAGGCGCCCTTGCCCGCGGCCCCCCCCGCACACACCATGCTGGGCCGGGCCGGGCTCGCCAGCGCCCTCCGGCGCAGCCCCGAGTAGAGGCAGTTGCAGGTGTCCGGGCTGAGCAGCGCCAGCGCCACCTCCTGCAGCGGGGCCCCGGCCGGCAGAGACACTGCGGGAGGGACGGGGGACACATAGGGACAGCAGGGACACACGTACAGGGACATATAGGGACAGCAGGGACACACGTACAGGGACACGTGGGGACACATAGGGACACATAGGGACAGCAGGGACACACGTACAGGGACATATAGGGACAGCAGGGACACACGTACAGGGACACGTGGGGACACATGGGGACACATAGGGACAGCAGGGACACACGTACAGGGACATATAGGGACACATGGGGACACATAGGGACAGCAGGGACACACGTACAGGGACATATAGGGACACATGGGGACACGTACAGGGACAGTGAGACACGTATAGGGACATATAGGGACCCATAGACCCCCATTGATCCCAATAGACCCCATAAACCCAATAGACCCCAATAGAGCCCCATTAACCCCATTGACCCCCACTGATCCCAATAGACCCTCATAGACCCCAATAGAGCCCCATAGAGCTCAATAAAGCCTCACTGACCCCTATAGAACCCAATAGAGCCCCATAGACCCCAACAGATGCCAATAGAGCCCCGTTGACTCCATTGACCCCCACTGACCCTGATAGACCTCATAGACCCCAAAAGACCCCCACTAACCCAAATAGACCCCATAGACCCCCATAGACCTCCACTGACCCCATAGACCTCCATTGACCCCAACAGACCCCCACTGACTGCATTGACACCCATAGGCCCCCATAGACCCCCATAGACCCCCATTGAACTCCATTGACCCCAACAGACCCCCATTGACTGCATTGACACCCATAGGCCCCCACAGACACCCCATAGACCCCCATTGACTGCATTGACCCCAACAGACCCCCATTGACTGCATTGACACCCACAGGCCCCCATAGACACCCCATAGGCCCCCATAGACACTCCATTGACCTCCATTGACCCCAATAGACCCCCATTGACTGCATTAACCCCAACAGACCCCCATTGACTGCACTGACACCCATAGGCCACCATAGACACCCTATAGGCCCTCACAGACACCCCCCCTTTGACCTCCATTGACCGCATTGACACCCATAGGCCCCCACAGACACCTCACTGACCTCCATTGACTGCATTGACACCCATAGGCCCCCCACAGACACCCCATTGACCTCTATTGACCTCCATTAACCCCAATAGACCCCCATTGACCGCATTGACACCCATAGGCCCCCATAGACCCCCATAGACCCCCATTGAACTCCATTGACCCCAACAGACCTCCATTGACTGCATTGACACCCATAGGCCCCCCACAGACACCCCATTGACCTCTATTGACCTCCATTAACCCCAATAGACCCCCTGACCGCATTGACACCCATAGGCCCCCATAGACATCCCATAGGCCCCCACAGACACCCCATTAGGCCACCATTGACTGCACCCCAACAGACCCCCATTGATTGCACTGACACCCACAGGCCCCCACAGACACCCCATAGACCGCCATTGACCTCCATTGACCCCAATAGACCCCCATTGACCGCACTGACACCCATAGGCCCCCATAGACACCCCATAGGCCCCCACAGACACCCCATTGACCTCCATTGATCCCGATAGACATTGACCCCATAGGCCCCCACAGACCCCACCCCATTGACCGCTGACACCCATAGGCCCCCATAGACACCCCATAGGCCCCCACAGACCCCCCATTGACCTCCACTGACCCCGATAGCCCTCCATTGACCTCCATTGACCCCAATAGACCCCCATTGACTGCATTGACACCCATAGGCCCCCATAGACACCCCATAGGCCCCCACAGACCCCCCATTGACCTCCACTGACCCCGATAGACCCCCATTGACTGCATTGACTGCACTGACACCCATAGGCCCCCATAGACACCCCATAGGCCCCCACAGACACCCCATTGACCTCCATTGATCCCGATAGCCCCCCATTGACCGCATTGACACCCATAGGCCCCCATAGACAGCCCTGAGGCCCCCACAGACACCCCATTGACCTCCATTGATCCCGATAGACCCCCATTGACTGCATTGACCCCAACAGACCCCCATTGATTGCATTGACACCCATAGGCCCCCACAGACACCCCATAGACCCCCACTGACCTCCATTGACCCCAGTAGACCCCCATTGACCGCATTGACACCCATAGGCCCCCACAGACACCCCATAGGCCCCCACAGACACCCCATTGACCTCCATTGACCCCAATAGACCCCCATTGACCGCATTGACACCCATAGGCCCCCATAGACACCCCATAGGCCCCCACAGACACCCCATTGACTTCCATTGATCCCAATAGCCCCCCATTGACTGCATTGACCCCAACAGACCCCCATTGATTGCATTGACACCCATAGGCCCCCACAGACACCCCATAGACCCCCATTGACTGCATTGACACCCACAGGCCCCCATAGACACCCCATAGGCCCCCATAGACACCCCATTGACCTCCATTGACCCCAACAGACCCCCATTGACTGCATTGACACCCATAGGCCCCCACAGACACCCCATAGACCCCCATTGACCTCCATTGACCCCAATAGACCCCCATTGACCGCATTGACACCCATAGGCCCCCACAGACCCCCCATTGACCTCCACTGAGCCCGATAGCCCCCCAAGCCCCCCCACACCCCCCTCTCACCGTTCTCGGCCACGTGGCCCCACCCGGTCACCCAGCACTGTGCCCCATAGGGCAGGCGCAGGCCGGGGGGGGGCAGGCAGAGGGTGCCGACGCCGGGGCCGAGGCGCGCGGGGGAGCGCAGGCGCAGCAGGGCCAGGTCGTGGCCCCCCCGCACGCGGCGGTACCGGGGGTGCCGGAGCACGCGGCCCACGGCCAGCACCTGCCCCCCCCCCGCCGACAGCCGTGCCCGGCCCAGCACGGCCCGCCAAGAGCGGGGGGAGCCTGCACCGGGGGCGCTGCGGGGACACGAGCCTATAGCGGGGCTATAGCACCTAGGGGGGACCTGTAGCAGCTAGGGGGGACCTATAGCAGCTAGGGGGGTCTATGGGGCCTATAGCAGGGCTATAGCATCTAGGGGGGACCTGTAGCATCTAGGGGGGACCTATAGCATCTAGGGGGGACCTATAGCATCTAGGGGGGACCTATAGCAGCTAGGGGGGACCTATAGCAGCTAGGCGGGTCCTATGGGGGTCTATGGGGCCTATAGCGGGGCTATAGCATCTAGGAGGGACCTATAGCATCTAGGGGGGACCTATAGCAGCTATGGGGACCTATAGGGGCTATGGGGACCCATATCCCCTTATATCCCTCCATATCCCCCCTATAACCCCTTACATCCCCCCAGTAGCCCTCCATATCCCCTTATAACAGACCCATACCCCCATATAACGCCATATCCCCCCCATAGACCCCTGTATCCCCCCCATATCCCCCCATACCCCCCGTATAACCCCCATATCCCCCCATATAACCCCCATATCCCCCCATACCCCCATATAACCCCCATATCCCCCCTTATAACCCCATATCCCATATCCCCCATATCCCCCCATATAAGCCCATATCCCCCCATATAACCCCCATATAACCCCCATAGACCCCAATATAACCGCATACCCTCCATATAACCCCCATACCCCCCCATAGACCCCAATATAACCCCATACCCCCATATAACCCCCATACCCCCCCCATAGACCCCAATATAACCCCATACCCCCATATAACCCCCATTTACCCCTGGAAGCAGTGGGCGGCGCTGAGCACCCAGTGGGGGCTGAGCAGGGTCCCCCCGCAGCGGTGCTGTCCCCCCAGCTCCAGGCTCACCTGCCAGGGCCAGGCCCCCGGCGCCGCCCCCTTGCCCCCCACAACGCGGCCCCGCGCCTGCGAGAGCCCGCACGGGGGCAGGGGGTCTGTGGGGGGACATAGGGGGTAAGGGGGGTACAGGGTGGCTATGGGGTTATAGGGGTCCTATGGGGGGTACAGGGTGGCTATGGGGTTATAGGGGTCCTATGGGGGGTAAGGGGGGTACAGGGTGGCTATGGGGTTATAGGGGTCCTATGGGGGGTATAGGGGATATAGGGGTCCTATGGGGGTTATAGGGGTCCTATGGGGGTCCTATAGGGGTTATAGGGGTCCTATAGGGGTTATAGGGGTCCTATAGGGGGTATAGGGTGGGTAAGGGGGGTACAGGGTGGCTATGGGGTTATAGGGGTCCTATGGGGGGTACAGGGTGGCTATGGGGTTATAGGGGTCCTATGGGGGGTACAGGGTGGCTATGGGGTTATAGGGGTCCTATGGGGATTATAGGGGTCCTATGGGGGTTATAGGGGTCCTGTGGGGGTATATGGTGGGTAAGGGGGGTACAGGGTGGCTATGGGGTTATAGGGGTCCTATGGGGGGTGTAGGGTGGGTAAGGGGGGTACAGAGTGGCTATGGGGTTATAGGGGTCCTATGGGGGGTACAGGGTGGGTATGGGGTTATAGGGGTCCTATGGGGGGTAGACGGTGGGTATGGGGTTATAGGGGTCCTATGGGGGTATAGGGGATATAGGGGTCCTATGGGGGGTATAGGGTGGGTATGGGGTTATAGGGGTCCTATGGGGGGTATAGGGTGGGTAAGGGGGATACAGGGTGGCTATGGGGTTATAGGGGTCCTATGGGGGGTATAGGGTGGGTAAGGGGGGTACAGGGTAAGGGGGGTACAGGGTGGCTATGGGGTTATAGGGGTCCTATGGGGGGTATAGGGTGGGTAAGGGGGGTACAGGGTGGCTATGGGGTTATAGGGGTCCTATGGGGGGTATAGGGTGGGTAAGGGGGGTACAGGGTGGCTATGGGGTTATAGGGGTCCTATCGGGAGGTATGGGGGGGTAAGGGGGGTACAGGGTGGGTATGGGATTATAGGGGTCCTATGGGGGGTATAGGGTGGGTAAGGGGGGTATAGGGGCCTTATGGGGGATATAGGGTGGTCTGTATAAGGTATATAGGGTGTGTGTGAGGGATGTAGGAGCCCTATGGGGCTTATATAGGGTCTGTACGGGGTATATTACGTCGGTATGGGAGTATATAGGGTCTGTATGGGGTATATAGGGTCTGCAGTGGCTTATATAGGGTCTCTAGCGGTGTATATAGGGTGTTTATGGGGTATACAGTAGGGTCTGTAGGACCTTATATGAGCATTATATGGCGGTTATATGGGCTGCATATGGGGTTATACGGAGATACATGGGCATTAAATGGGGTATATGGAGTTATATGGGGTACATTGGGTTATATGGGGGTACACGGGTATTATATGGGGGTTATGGGGCGGTATATGAGGTTATATTGAGGGTTATGTAGAGATTCTATGTGGCCCAGCATCCCCTTGAGGTCAGGACCGTTGGCGATGGGGTTGCGCCATAGGGGGAAGTGGGGACATGGGGGAAGTGAGGGGTGCCCTTTAGCACCCCATAGACACCCCATAGCCCCCCCTTACCTTCATCCCCCTCCTCAGCCACACCAGCTCCACCTGGGGGGGGTGTGTCAAAAAGGGGGTGAAGCAGCTTTTGGGGTGCCCCCCCCCCCATTTCCGCCCCATTGAGCCCCATGGAACCGGCCGGACCAGTTCTATGGGGCACACCCGGACGCGGTTCCCCCTCCCCAGGGCATGGGGGGGGGGGCACTTGTGGGTCCCATGTGTGTCCCATGCGTGTGCCCCCCCATGCGTGTGCCCCCCCACACTTACATGCGAGCAGCAGCAGCCATAGGGCGGTGGTGGCATGTCTGAGCGTGTTGAAGCGTGTTAAGGCGTGACGGGCCATGGGGCAGTGCTGGGGGGGGCAAAGGGGGTTATGGGGGGCTATAGGGTGCCTATGGGGCTATAGGGGTCTTTTGGGGGGTCTATGGGTCCCTATAGGGTCCCTATGGGTCTGGGGAGGTGTTCACTATGGGTCTCTATAGGTCCCATATGGGTCCCAGGATGTCCCTATGGGTCCCTATGGCTCCGGGGGGGGATATCTATGGGTCCCAGCATATCCCTATGGGTCCCTATAGGTCTCTATGGGTCCAGGGGATTCTCTATGGGTCCCAGGATGTCCCTATGGGTCCCTATGGGTCCCAGGATATCCCCTATGGTCCCTATGGGATTCTATGGGTCCGGGGGGTGATCTCTATGGGTCCCAGGCTGTCCCTATGGGTCTAAGGGGAGGGTCTGTGGGTTTCTATAGGTCTCTATGGGTCCCAGAATGTACCTGTGGGTCCGGAGGGAGCCTCTGTGGATCTCTATAGGTCCCTATGGGTCTCTATAGGTCTCTGTGGGTCTCTATAGGTCTCCGTGTCCACGCCGTCCCTCGTTCCCCTTTTAACCCCTATGGCCCCGCCCGGCTCCCGTCCCCCCCACCCCGCCCCATGAACTACAGCCCCCAGCAACCCCCGCGGCAACATCCGGGTACCACAACCCCACCGCCAGCCAATCAGAGCGGGGCAAGGGCCGGGCGGGCAGCTAATAGGGAGGAGAGGACGGGGCGCACAAGGGACGCGGCGGGCCAATGGGAGGCGAGGGGCGGGGCTTGACTATGAGGGGGGCTCCTTTAACCCCTCCCAACGCTATAAAAACGCTTCAAACACACCCCAGAACCCCTTTTTTGTCGCGTTTGGGGCGTTTTGAGGCGTTCTGAGGGCAGTTTGAAGAGTTTTGGTGGCATTTTTAGGTTTTGGGCGTGATTTTGGGTAGTTTGGGGGCATTTTCAGGTGTTCTTTAGGGGCGAAAAGGGGGGTTATGGGGGGGAGGGGGTCAAGGGCCCATAGACGCCCTATAGATGCCCCATGGATGCCATTAACCCCCCCAATGCCTCTTAGATCCACATTGAACCTCCACAGACCCCCATTAAAACCCCTTTAGACCCCCCCAGACACCCCACAGACCCAATTGGCACCCATAGAACCCCATTAGCCCCCACTGGATCCCCACAGACCCCAACAGATCCCCATTAACCGGAGCCGCTTCCCCTCAGCCCGCGGCCGCCATCTTCCTCCGGTTCCCGCCGCCCCCGCTGCTGAGCATGCGCGGAGAGGGACGGGAGGGGGGCGTTGCCATGCGCAGGGTAAGCCACGCCCCCTACCCGCGTTGCCTAGGCGACAGGGGCGTGGCTCGCACCCGTCTTCCCGCCCTCCTCCAGCCAATCACCACGCCCCTCTTCGCCCGCCCCGCGCGCTGATTGGCTGAGCCCTCCCTTAGCCCCGCCTCCTCGCCGGCGCCTCCGCTTCCCCTCAGCCCGCGGCCGCCATCTTGGCGGCGGGGAGGCGGCGGCTCCGGTTGCGGCCTAGGCCCCGGTTTGAGGCCTCGGCCTCGATTTGGGCTCAGATTCGGCCTCCCCGGGTCCCCGCAGCGGCCACGACTGAAGGAGCCGCCTCGGGGGAGGCCGCGGCCCCCCCCCGGACCTGCAGCCGCCGGGGGGGGGGCGCCGGGACCCGCCGGAGCCGGACCGGGCCCAAGGAGCGGTGAGGGGCGGCAAGGGGCGGCTGTGGGGCACTTATGGGGCAGCCCCATAGAATCTGTGGGTCCCGTAGGTCCCATGATGCCGTCCGGTCCCATTGATCCCAATGGAGCCGAGTTGTTCCTCAAGGAAGATCCCGAGAAGCGCTTCGGGGACCTGCGGGAGATCGGGCACGGCAGCTTCGGAGCCGTCTACTACGTGAGTGCCCCAGAGATGTGGGGCAGGACCCACAAGGGGGGGGTTGGGCCCCATAGGTGTGGGGTAGGACCCATGAAGAGGGGTTTGGGTCCCATAGATGAGCGTTTATGGGCTGTTTGAACCTATGGATGTGGGGCAGAGGGGTGTTGGGGCCCATAGATGTGGGACAGGACCCAGAAGTGGGGGTTTGGGCCCCATAGATGACCGTTTATGGGCTGTTTGGACCTATGGAAGGGGGGCAGGGGGGTGTTATGCCCCATAGATGTGGGGCAGGACCCATAAGTGGGGATTTGGGCCCCTTAGATGTAGGGCAGGACCCATACGTGGGGGTTTGGGCCCTATAGGTGTGGGGCAGGGGGGTGTTTGGCCCCATAGATTTGGGGCAGAGAGGGGTCAAGTCCCAGAGATGAGCTTTGGGACCCATAGATTTGGGGCAGAGAGGGGTCAAGTCCCAGAGATGAGCTTTGGGACCCATGGATGTGGGGCAGGGGGTGTTGGGCCCCACATCTATGGGTCCCAATATCCCGTATGGGCCCGGTGCCCCATAGAAGGGGGTCAGAGACCATCATGCCCCATAGATGTGGGGCCCGGCATGCCCCTGCCCCATCTCTATGGGGTTCAGCAGCCACCTGACCCACATCTATAGGGCCCATTGTCCCATATGGGCCCCGTGCCCCACATCAGTGGGTCCTGCCCCACATCTATGGGTCCGTGTTGCAGGCCCGGGACCTGCGCACGTCCGAGGTTGTGGCCATCAAGAAGATGAACTACAGCGGGAAACAGGCCAATGAGGTGAGGCCGAGGGGGCGGAGCCCCCTGACCCATAGCCCCCCCTCTGCCCCACAGCCAGCCCCATAGCCTCCCCCTCTGCCCCATAGAAGTGGCTGGACATCGTCAAGGAGGTGTCTCTGCTGCGGCGCCTGCGCCACCCCAACACCGTCCAGTACCGGGGCTGCTTCCTCTGGGGCCGCACAGCCTGGGTGAGCCCCAACCCCACACATGTGGGGCTGGCCCCATAGATTGGACCCAGGAGTGGGGGTCTGGGGACTCTGTGGGGGCGCACAGGGGGTGTTTGGCCCCATAAATTGGGGTTGGTGGGTATTGAGCCCCACAGATGTGGGGCTGGGTTGGCCCCGTAAGTGGGGGCTTCAGGGGGGGTTTGGACCCATAGATGTGGGGCAGGGCGATACTGGGACCCAGAGATGGGGTTAGGGACCTGCAAGTGGGGGTTTGGGACCCATAGATGGGGGGGTCGGAGCCATAGGTGGGGTTATGGGGGGTGCTGGGGCCCATAAGTGGGGGTTGGGGACCCATAGGTGTGGGGCAGGGGGACGTTGGGCCCCATAGATGTCGTTCAGGTGTCACTTATGGGGTACAAGCCCCACACCCAGCGTCTGGGGATCCATTTATATGGGGCAGGAACTGCCCCATGGCCCCACTTATGGGGCAGAGCCTGATCCTGTGCCCTCAGCTGGTGATGGAGCATTGCGTGGGCTCCGCCTCAGACCTGCTGGAGGGTGAGTGCAGCGCTATGGGGCAGGGCTATGGGGCAGCCCTATAGCATCCCTCTGCCCCACATCTCTGCCCCATAGAGCACCAGCAGCCACTGCAGGAGCTGGAGATCGCAGCCATCGTCCATGGGGCACTGCAGGGGCTGCGCTACCTCCACATGCACAGCGTCATCCACAGGTCAGCCCCATAGCTTGACCCGTCACCCAGCCCCATAGCTTGACCCGTCACCCAGCCCCATAGCGGGACCCATCGTCCAGCCCCATAGCGGGACCCGTAATCAAGCCCCATAGCAGGACCCATTGTTCAGCCCCATAGCTCACCCCATAGCCCTGACCTATAGTGGGACCCATCACCCAGCCCCATAGCGGGACCCAGCCCCATAGCTCACCCCATAGCCCTGCCCCACAGGGACGTGAAGGCCGGGAACATCCTCCTGACTGCGCCAGGATTGGTCAAGCTGGGGGACTTTGGCTCCGCCTCCACCTCGGCCCCCGCCAATTCCTTCGTGGGGACGCCATATTGGTAAGGAGGCTGCCCCATAGCGTGGCCCCACGTCCTGCCCCATAGCGCTGCCCCATAGCCCTGCCCCACATCCTGCCCCGTAGGATGGCGCCGGAAGTGATCCTGGCCATGGACGAGGGGCTGTATGATGGCAAAGCCGATGTGTGGTCCCTGGGCATCACCTGCATTGAGCTGGGTATGGGGCACTTGTGGAGCGGGGGGCACTTGTGGGGCTGGGGGGCACTTGTGGGGCTGCCCCATAGCGCTGCCCCCCATCGCCCCCTAGCGGAGCGGAGGCCGCCGCTGTTCAACCTGAACGCGATGAGCGCCCTCTACCGCATCGCACAGGAACCAGCGCCCGCGCTGCAGCCCCGGCACTGGTGAGTCTGTGGGGCTGCCCCATCGATTCCATGGGGTGATCCAGAGGGGGCGTGGGGCTGCCCCATAGCTTCAATGGGGCTGCACAATAGATTCTATGGGGTGACTCAAAGAGGGTGTGGGCTGCCCCATAGCTTCCATGGGGCTGCCTCATAGATTCTATGGGGTGACAAAGAGGGGATGTGGGGCTGCCCCATAGATTCTATGCGGTGACCCAAAGGGGATGTGAGGTTGCCCCATAGGTTCTATGGGGTGACCCAGAGGGGGTGTGGGGCTGCCCCATAGCTTTCATGGGGCTGCCCCACAGACGCCACGGCTCCCCCGTAGGTCGGACTCGTTCTGCTCCTTCGTCTCCTCCTGCCTGCAGAAGGCGCCATTGGCCCGGCCCAGCTCTGACGTCATCATCCAGGTGGTGATGTCACAGGGGAGGGCGGGGTCGAGGAGGGGGTGGGGCTAAGGGGGAATCAGGGAACGGCGGGGCTTGAAGGGGGCGTGGCCTGACGTGGCCCCGCCCCCAGCATGGGTTCGTGACCCGGGCGCTGCCCCCATGGGTGCTGCCGGAGCTGCTGCGGCGCTGCCGGGACCCAGCACGGAGACAGGTCTGTGACAGCACCCTATGGCACCCTATAGCACCCTATAGCACCCTATAGCACCCTATGGCACCCTATAGCACCCTATGGCACCCTATAGCACCCTATAGCACCCTGTGGGCCCCTCTGGCACACTATGCGACTCTGTAGCACTCTGTGCCTCTCTATGGGACCCTATAGCACCCTCTTTGACCCTATGGCACCCTATGGGTCCCTATAGCACCCTATGGGCCCGTATTGCACCCGATAGCACCCAGTGTGTCCTCTCCAGGCCCTGGAGCCCAGCAGCAGCTCCAGCTCCAGCCTGGAGCAGGATGAGGACGAGGAGGAGGAGGAAGAAGAAGACAGCTCCCCATTGGCTGAGCAGGACACAGGCTCCTCCCCCAGCTCCATTCTCCACCAATTGGCTGTGAGTTGAGGGGCACGATGGGATGGAGCACCCCACAGGCCCCATCTGTGGGTGCCCCCCACCCCATGGCTCCCTCCCTTCTCCCACAGGAGCCAGATCCGGGCCTCTCCCCCCCGCCCCGGCGGCATTCCGGAGGCCGGGAATGGCGGCAGCAGCACTGCCCCCCCTTCACCCCCTCCCCCTTCCTCACCCCCTCCCCTTCCCCTCCTCCAAAGACCTCCCCTGGCCCCACCCTCACTTTAAGCCCCTCCCACTCCTTAAGCTCCACCTCCTCTTTAAGCCCCTCCCCTTCCAATGGCTCCACCCCTTCTTTAAGTCCCTCCCACTCCGTTGCCTCCTCCCCTTCCACGCCCATTGGCTACTCCTCCCCTTTAAGCCCTGCCCCCTCCATTGACTCCTCCCCCTCCCATGGCCCCTCCCACCCTTCCAGTGACCCCTCCCACTCTTCAAGCCCCTCCCAATCCATTGGCTCTTCCCCCTCTTTAAGCCCCGCCCCCTCCACACCCCCCTCAAGCCCCTCCCCTTCTAACGGCTCCTCCCCCTCCCATGGCCCCCTCCCCCCTTCAAGCCCCTCCCCTCGCCCTCCCTCCCCCCTCCCCTTCCCCCCCTCCCTCCTCTTCCTCCTCCTCCTCCCCCCCCTCCTCCTCCTCTTCCTCCCCCCCCTTCCCTTCCCCCTCCCGCTGTGGGGGAGGGGCACCAACTCCTCCTCCTCCTGGTTCCCGCCCTCCCTCCTCCCCTTGACCTTGACCCTCACCTTGACCTTGGCCCTGCCCCGCTTTGGCCCCGTTTGGCCCCAATTTGGGGTGCCCCCCCCCTTGCACGTCCCGGTCTTGGTCCTGGCCGCCCAGCTCTGGGTCTCCCCGTGGCTCTTCCTCCCCCTTTACCTCGTGGGGGTGCTGGGGAGGGGGCGGGGCTTGATGGGCGGGGCGGGGCTGCCCCGGCTCTGGCTCCGCCTCGCTCTGGGGCTGCCCCCGCCCGTGTTCTCCCTGCTCTTCCATTGGGGCGTCCTCTCGGAGCGCCGCCTCTTCCGGCTCTTCCCGCGGGCCCGCAAGGCCGCCTTCCGCTCCCGCCTGCCCATCGCCTCCTACAGGCAGGGCCGGGGCCACGCCCCGCCGCCCCCGGCCACGCCCCGCCGCGCCCGGCCACGCCCCCTGCGCCTGCTGGCCCAATGGGCGGCCAGGTTGGGGCAGGCGCTGGCGGGGGGCGGGGTCAAGAGGGGGGTTGTGGCCTCCCATAGGCCCAGCCGCATCCCCAGGCCACGCCCACAGGGGAGGAGGGGCGGGGCCACGCAGCCGAGGGCGGGACCATTATAGGCACTACAAGGGGGGGCCACCCCAGATAATGGGGCCCAATGGGACCCCCACGTTGGTGGTGGGGGGACCCCCCGCCCCCCATGGACCCATATGGGGGTTTTGACCCCCCCATAACATTGGGCTCTCCCAAGTGGGGTTCAGGGACCCCCCGCCCAAAGGCTTTTTGGGGTCCTTTCCCATCAATTTGGGACCTTTTGGGGTCGTTTTATTCGATTTTCATCATTTATGGTCATTTTCCATCAGCTTTTGGGGGGGACTTTGGGTCATTTTGGGGGGTTTGGGTCATTTTGGGGGGAATTTGGGTCATTTTGGGGGGTTTCGTTGCTTTTGCCTTGAATTAACTTTATTTTCATGGTGTTTATTTAAAAAAAGGAACACAAGAAATGTCAAAAAAACCCGATTTTGCCTCTTTTTGAGTGTGCCGGGGGTGGGGGGAGGTGCTGATGTCATTTGGGGGGCAGCCAATGGGTGCTTAGCAACATCGTTAAGTACCAGTGTTAATTACAGCCCCCATTAAGTGGAGGGGGGGAAGGAGGGACTATTAACCCGTTAATTAATCAGTGAACCCCTTCATTAATTCACCCTTTAATTAACCATTAATTAACCTGTTAATTAATCAGTGAATTCTTTCATTACTTAATCTGTTAATGAATCAATGAACCCCTTCATTTATTAACCCTTTAATTAATTAGCTCCTTCATTAATTAACCTGTTAATTAGTCAATGAATTCTTTCCTTAACCCATTAATTAATGAATCCCTTCATTAGTTAACCCGTTAATCAATTAATCCCTTCATTAGTTAACGCATTAATTAATCAATGAACCCCTTCATTAATGAACCCGTTAATCAATCAATGAACCCCTTTATTAATGAACCTGTTAATCAATGAACCCCTTCATTAATGAACCCGTTAATCAATCAATGAACCCCTTTATTAATGAACTTGTTAGTTAATCAATGAAACTCCTTCATTGATGAACCCATTAATTAATCCATGAAACCCTTCATTAATTAACCCGTTAATTAATGAACCCCTTCATTAATGAACCCGTTAGTTAATCAATGAACCCCTTCATTAATGAACCCGTTAATTAATCAATGAACCTCTTCATTAATGAACCTGTTAATTAATCAATGAATCCATTAATCAATTATCGCCGTTATTAATCAATCCCTAAGGCCCGCGTCGCCATGGCAACGCCGCTCTGCCCGGAACCGGAACCTCCGCCGTTGGCCCATCCCCACCCCCTTACTCCGCGCTGATTGGTCCTCTTCCGCTTCCCCCCTCTCTGATTGGCTGAAGCCTTGAAGGGGGGGAGAGGGGCGGGACCAAGCGCGACT